TCTGGGAGTTGAAGTCCACTCATCTTAAAGTGGCCAAGTTTGGACAACACTGCTGTACACAGTCTTTTCCTTCCTCTAAAATAGCAATGCATGCAAAAATCTGCATGTTATATAAGATATGAAACTATTGTTACTTCTCCTACTTTATTAATTTCTTATGTTTGGTGATGCCTACTAACAACTGTATGTGATATGGCATCATTACCCATCACATTTCTTACTCCCCCAATAATGTGAAGGGGACATGGGTGGCAGAAAAACATTATGTTAGCTTCTCCAAGGTGATGCCTTCTTACTATGTCAGATTTCAACTCCTAGAACCTCTAACCAGCCAATCACCATGAAGTACCTTAGATTTCCTAACTTACATATACATTTACATATGCATAGCCATATCATACACACATATATATAGCCAAAATTACAAAAGATCACCAAATCTCACAAGATTTTGTCTTTCTCATCTACTATTTTGCAAAATTTCAGGCAAGGACACCACATTTCATACAATTTCCCCTGTGATTCTGGTCATTTTAATTTTTATTTAATTTGGAGTCCAATGGATGACAATGTTAGCTGTGGTGGCTTCAGGTGCTATATTACCAACCTGGCTTATATGGTGATCCTCAGAAGTTCTTTTATGGTGATTTAATGATTCATACTGAATGTTTAATTTGTGTAACTGCCACATGAGACAAGGAAAAAAAGACTAAAACCTAATGTTATAATGCATACAATTTAATATATCACTGTTGCATCCTTCATAGTCAAACTCTAAAAGATATTGAAGCTACCTACTTTAACATCACTATTTCTTATGATGTATTTAAGGCTTTCAACTTACCGCCAACATATACTATACATTTTTGGAAAGGATAGACACAGTCTTTCCCCTAGAAAACTAGATTTCTGTAGAAAGAAAAAAGAAAAAGAGTGGGTATTTATTTAAAATAAGATGGGCAGTGACAAATTTGATAAATAAATAAAAATAAATTAATAAAAATCTACATTTCAGAGAGCTATTTCATGCAGCCTTGAAATAGGGTTACAAAAGTTACTACAGGTAGTCCTTGACTTACAACAATTGGGACCAGAATTTCTGTTGCTAAGTGATGTGGTCGTAAAGCACAATGTCATGTGACAGCATCACTTAGTGATGACAATCCCAGCAGTCCCGGTTGCCATTGTAGTGCCAGGACTGCACAGATTAAGCAAGGACTTCACATGAACATGATGTGGGAAAAGGTGGGAGTCCCAGGCAAGCAGGCCAGCAGCTAAGAGCTGTACGTGACAGGTGAGAACTACGGGTGGGCGGGCAGATGCCACGGGCAGGTGCTACAGAGTGCAAGCAGGTGGATGCTGTGGGGGTGGGAAGAAGCGGCGGTAATGGGAGCAAATTGTGACATTCTGCCAGCTTCCTCATTGACTTTGCTTGTGGGAAGCTGGCAAGGAAGGTTGCAAATGGTGATCACATGACTGTAGAGTGCTGCAACCAACATAATTGTGAGCCAGTTACCAAACGCCCAAATCACGATCATGTGACTGGGGACACTGCAACAGTCACAACTTCAAGGACCACTTGCAAGTCCCCCTTGTTCAGCGCCACTATAACTTTGAACAGTCACTGAATGAGTGGTCATAACCTGAGGACTACCTGTAGTCTATCTACCCACACCCACCAAAAGCAGGCCCATTTACAAAACACCATCTGATCATTTTAAAAAATCATAAATAAGCAGCATAGTTACCTGTAACGAAGATTAGTTTTTCACCCAAATAATTATGTGTACATTGGGGAAGGAGGTTGTCTTTCACTTGCTAAGAATATATGATGGTGCAAATCACAAAAGAAAGTGGCTGTAATAAGGCATGACAGGAAGAGAGACTGCTTCAAGGGATGGAGACAAGCATGCTAGCCCTGTCCTCCAAATGTGAGGGGTGATGTTGGCTAAGTCTATGCAAGGCAGGAGGCAACATGATTCTCTTCTCTGAAGCAAAGAGGTAACACTATTTGCTTTGATGAAGCACTATCAGGTTTTCCTGATCAAAAATCAGGTTTTCCAACTGGTTTAGAGTTGCCATCACATTCAAGCTTCCCCTGTCTCCTACCTAGAGGCTTCTGTACAGGTACTGTGCTTGGGGTAAGCAGCGTTAGGCTGAGTGACACATCCTTCTGTACTTCTTGCCAAACCTGCTAAAGAAACTATGCTGAAGACGGGCTGTGAAGCAGGTCAGAGTCAAGGAACTTGGTCACTTTGCTCTTAAAAGCAAGGAGGCCACGTTGCTTTGTGAAACAGCTTTGAGGAAATATTTCACTTGGACTGTCAGTGAAGTGAAGCACTTCTTCAAAGATCTGTACAGTACTAGTCTCTGCAGTGAAAAACTTCTTCAATCCGTGGAAGTCCTCCACATGAAGACTCAGGAAAAATCAGGTTTTCCAACTGGTTTAGAGTTGCCATAGAGAGATTTTTCATTGCAAACACATGGAAAGAGAACAAGAGAGAATGAGGCTAGCTGGCTGAACAAGATTAGAAGTCCTAATTATACTCATCTGGAGTAAAGAGGTCAATGGGGCTTATTAAAGAGTTTGCATACATAGGCTTTTTGTGTCTGAAGCTCAGCAAACAAACAGCTCAACATGGATCTTTTTCCTTATATCCACTCTTGCAGAGATGTTGAGTAGCCAGAACCACTGAACACAACAGGGCTTAGTATGGAAAAAGCATATATAGATTTATGTTGCTACGCAGAGATTTCTGCAGTTTTTGTGTGTGTAAGCGGGTAGTTTCTGTGTGAGAATGCTTTCTATGAATATATGAAAATGCAGGGATCTACAACTGTATGTATACATACAAGTGGCCCACATGCACATATTTAGGGAGGAAAGTTCTCTGGATTTGTTTCAATGAGTTTTAGCAACAGTAGCAGACAAGGTAGGGAAGCATAATGAATTTCTTCCTTTTGGATAACCTTGCAAAAAATATTACTGGATTAAGTCTCTTCATTTTTTTTTTATAACTCATGAACTCTTGTCTTACTTTCTCCTGCAGGATTTGTTTTAACAAGTCTTGTTAAAATGAGTTCTGATACCCAAGAATGAAATGCAGCAGGCTGAGCAAGAAAAACAACCGCACATTTCTTCTCTGATATCTCTATAAGGTATCTTTTTTGCTGCTGCTGCTGTTTAGGCTAATAACTTTTGTGGACTGATGAATGTGATAGAGAGAGACCAACTTTTCTCAACCTTGGGCCCATCAGATATGTTAGAGTTGCTGCTCTCCTAATAACAACAATTGCAAATTTGTTTTTGCAATTTTGCAACAACTGCAAAATAACAACAATTGCAAAATTGTCAATTGCAAAAGGCAGCTTTACTTGGAACTGCTTACATAATGTGATACCTGTAATATCATTAAACAACATCTACCTATCCTAGGTCCTTGGGAAGGACTTGATAGGTGGACAAAAATGCCAAATCCAGTCTAAGCATCTGGCTGACTGTGTGACCAACCATAATAAGAATACTTTTATCCCACCTTTTTATATATTTTTGCCAACTCAAGGTGACAAATATACCTAATACACCTGCCTCCCATTTACCAGCCAGCCCACTGAGAATGATGCCCACTGACAGACTGCCAAATGTTGTGGCAGTCCCCTCCCTAACAGGCTTATGCAACAGGAAATATTTTCTTTTCTCTTATTGGCTCTCTAACTGCTCTTCCTTCGCCCTTGTGCAAGTCTCAGTCATTACCCCCCGCCTGGTAATGCACCAGGCGACATCTCCCACCAGCTGCACCCCAACACCTTTGAAGGGCACCAGGCGGGCAATGCGGTTGGGTAACTTCCTTATTCATCTCGCCAGGCTTGGAAGACGCTTCCCTTTCCACGCCTCGGCTTCCCTTCCTTCCGTCGCCATTTCTTAAGAATGCCATTCCCACGAACGCCAAGGGACGCCGGAGCATGGCAGTCAGGGCATCAGGGCTGGCAAACGTCGCTTCAATCGCTCGTCCCAGCGGGAGCCATTGGTTTTCACGCTCTGGGCTCCCTCTGGAGCCTTCCCAAGGCGCCCTTCCCTACTGCCTCCCCCGCGACCTCGTGCGACCCCCTTCCTTCGCCCTCGCGCCCCGAATTAACCCCGGGAGCGGCGCCGGCGCCGGCGAGAGCGGCGCCCATTCATTCCCTCGTGACCTCCATTCGCCCCAAGCCCAGCGCTACTTACGGCCGCCTTCATCGCGGGCGCCGCCAGTTCCCCGGCCGGCCGCCTCTCACAGCCGCCGCCGCCGCC